ATCACAGTTCTGCGCTGAAACGTTCGCTCGACTGAGATTTATTACATTTCTATAAAAAGTAAAATAAATCTTGAAAAAGTCCCAGCACCTTTATATAGTTCTTATATTTAACAGAAACTTTTTTTGGGATGTGTCCACCACCGAGTTTGAAACATGAATCACCCTGAGAATCTGAAATCTCCCATTAAAGCAGAAAACTTTATACTTTAAAATCATCCAGAGGAAAAAAAAGTGTGAAATAATGTTTGACTCAGTTTCTTGAAACCTCCAAAGCTGCTCAGTTGCCACGTGAGTAATTTAAAGAAGTTCTCAGCTTCAAACTAATTTACAGATGTCGATGTGCGGAAACGGCAGCTTCGCGCTACGCTCCACTTCCTGTCTCACGTTCCTCGACCGGTACGTCAGGTCTCCTGCGCTCCGATTGGTTGTAGCTGTTACCGGCTCATCGACAGATATTTGTGGTCAGTGGAGGAGACGTGACTCAAAGAGTTTCACGAGATTCTCAAACACGCGGCAAGAAAAGAATAAAAAGTTCCGTTTACCCAGAGACCGTTTCTGCAATGACTCAGTCGCACAGTTATCGATACTACACATCAGACAAAATGGCCGACTGTAAATAACATCCTATGTGATAAACCAAATATTTAACAGGAGCCAGTAAAAAAATTTCTTTTAAAGGCTCTAAAGCAACGTTTGCTCTCAGTTAAAGTGTAAAATCCTCATCACTACGTTTCACTGGCTTCCATTAGAAATCTCTGGTTTACGACATACGATTCGTCTCTCGACTGTTTTATCTCAGAACCTTTGCACGTTGCCCCGTCACCTCACAGTTTTCAGATTCTCATAAAAAAAAAAAAAAAAACGGTAATGTTACCGTTTTGTTCGCCCGAGCTCATGTGTGCTTGTGGACAGAGTTGCGGAGTAACCGGAGGCGAGACATGACTTCGTCCCAGTCCAGGTAGGCGCCCTCGAGGTGTCTGGAGCAGTCTGGCCTGGTGACGTAGCTCCTGCGTCCGTGGAGCAGACGCCAGTTATCAAACGTCGCTATGTCGCCTGAAATACAACAAACAAGCAAAGTTCAAGCACATGACGGCTTCGGTCCGGGGCGGACGACCGCCTCACGAGGAAATAAGAAAAAAACACGAGTTGGGTTTTGATCCAAATTGATTATAAATCTTCAGCAAATTTGGAGAAAAGAAATTAATTAACGTTTCCATCCGCAGCTGATGAGTGAATGTTAGTTATTTGTTCATTTTCTCCTCTGGTGTCAATAAACTGCAGAAGAAACAGGTGCAACAGGAACGAAAACATAAAATTAAAGAGCCGCCGTCAAACGATGGAAGCACAACGTGGTTCAAACGTTTGTTTCACTCTGAGGATCGTTACTCAGGTTTTATATCTGCAGCTGTTTCATCTCTGATTTGGTTTCGATGGACAAACTTCTGCACGTCGGCCGAGCTTTAATCTCTTTAAGATTTAATCTGTCTGTGATGGTTTGATTTGTTTTCTGATTATCAGAGATTAAAGACAGATGGAAACACAGCGACAGGAACACGAGAGCGATCCACGAGAACTAACTGGAACATTAAATAATTCCAACAATAACAAACTGCTAACTCTCTCAAATTGATTTTATTCAGTGAAATATTTAGAGCGTCACCGAGAGGAGCCTTCACAGATGAACTTGACAAATCAGTTTCTCACCTGGCTCCATTTTGTAGTCCACCACGTTCTCCGGTCGGCTCATGATGTCGCAGAAGAGCTTCATCGCTCTGTAGAAGGGTTGAACCTGGTGGACGGGGAGGTCCAGCACCGAGTCTCTGGTGGCGTTGTTGAAGTTTATCCTCTGCACTCGGCCTTTACAGTCAACGCTGCTCAGAGAAGAACAGAGAAAATCAATCAAACTTTTTTACAGTTAATTCATTAAAAGTTAAAAAAGTTTTGGCTGCTGAACAAAGCGAACATGTCAAAGTCACGAGTAACGAGTTGATTCAATCTCATCTGGAAGACGTAGATTAGAAGTTTCAGAAGGAAAAACTTGAAGATCCACGTCCTCAAGATCCTTCTCTTTTAAAAGTTTTGAAAATTTTAATTTAATATAAACTTTGTTCAGAAAAGTGCCGTAAATTTTTTTTATTAAAGACTTTTTGTTTGATATAATAAAACTGAAAATATTAATATTACAGAAGTTACACACATTAATATTAGAGAGCTACAGAACAACCGACTACATGTAAAGATGCTAAGTGAAGCTACGACGCTCGGATCACCCCCCCCCCCCCTGGTGGCTGGCTGCAGTATCGATCATACATGTCTTTGAAAATCGTTGGTCGGATAAAACCGTCACCAACAATTTCACACTCGTCACTGTTTTGTGATCGTTCAACATCTCACTCCAACACAATGAATAATCATAATGCAGCTGAGGCTGTGGAGGCCATGTTGAGAACATCTCCCAACAGCAGATGGCAGTGTCGCATTTCAAATCACACAAACTCGCTCGCCGGCGACTAACACATCTTTCTCCCTGCCTCAGACAGAGATGGTAGATGTGTGCTGATGTATGAGAATTAAAAAAAAACAACATGTAGCGTGACAGCTCGTCTCCACTCACTCGATGAGATATTTCTTGGACTGCAGCAGGAAGTCGCAGTAGTCCCTCCCCATGTCGGTGAAGTCCACCTGGGTGGAGGTGAGGGTCCTGTAGGCCTCTGGGTCTTCTCTCTGCAGCAGCTCGACCATGTGGAAGCCGTCCACCACCTCACTCTCCCCTCCCTCCGCAGCCTGGCTGATGCAGTGCACGAACTGCACCTACAACGGTCCAACACACACACACACATGCTGCACAAATGCTCATTTTACAACTCCGAGGCCGTAAAAGCCAAATGCCTGCAGTCAAAAGAAGAACATGAATTCATAAGTGATACCACATCAGTGTGATGCAGTTAAATCTTCTCCGTAGATCATGTGAGTAAGGTTTTACTCACTCCTGGCGAGAAGTGTAACGCAGGGTAGTCCGTGTGGAGGCTGAGCCTTTTTGAAGTGTAGGCTAAATTGTTTGCCTGGTTTTTGTCCTGGACCTGCCACGTGTGCCTGAGGACAAAGATGATATTCGTTAATAAACTCCACGTTCATTATTTAACTTTGGCTTTAGAAGATCAGCGCGCGACAATTAGGCTGTGTGGAGAAAAAAAGATGAGCTGAACTCTGCAGGGATCCCTGAGGGGGAAGCGGAGCGGCTTCACAGGAATGCTTAGACCGGAGCCTCTGAAGTAGATACTTCATTGAGATGCAGCAGGAGTCAAGCACTAATGAGGTAAAGTTATCTTCCCTGTTCTGTTTGCATGCCTCGTTCGGATGCCCGACTCGTAAAACAGTTTCTCTGATGGCAGGACTTCAGCTTTAGTCTGCAGCCGCTTTACTTCCAGCCGTATGAGCTCATCTGCTGGCAGAGGAAAAGCTTCACGCTCCAAACCCCTGTTCTGACTGAGTGCACCAGGTAATTCCTCTGGCTTAAAAAAAAGAGAACGCTGGAATGCTTTTAGGTTGTTTTCTCCGTCTCCGTCCTCAAGCAATCAGCTCTGCAATAAGTCAAAGAGATGAACTCTGGATGATGAAGGAACCAACAGACACTCAGAATGAATCAACGCTGCAGATAACTTCACTGCTGGACATATTTCCCTCAACATTTAATGTGACAAAGTGAGAATCTTATCAGAAAAATCGTCCTGCCTGGTTGGATTCCCTGTAAAAACAGAGGATGTGAATAAAACTCTTTTGTATTTGATTTTCTCTAACAACGCTCCCTGGGCTCCGCTCCAGCTTAAATATGATCAGTGGAACATTCAACAGCAAAGATTTAGTGGCGAGTGAGATTATTAAACGGTGGCTTGGCTGAGGCCGACTGTAGAAAAAAAAAAAAGAAAAGTGGATGAACGTCATGCAGACTTACCCGTAGAATGTTAGCCTGAGATAACCGATCCTCTCGGCGAGTCTGGCCACTTGGCCTCTCTCTCTTGGAGCCCCCTTCAGGCAGACGATGCCAACGCGACGCAGGGCCAGGAGCCAAGCCAGCGCGGCCTCATCGTCATGGAGGACTTCCTCAAAGCTGCCGGTGGGAATGCTCAGCTCGGAATCGAAATAATAACGATCTGAAATGAGAAGAAGGACGTGGAGGAAATATTCTTTTCATAGTTTTTTTTTTTAGTTTTGGTTTTTGTGCGTCTGCAACATGAAGCTCTTCCGACCAACAGTGTGTCTGTGTTCTGACACGGAGCTGAACTGCGTCGTCACTTCATCAGAGGCTACGCTCATTGTTTCTTCCTCGTTATAAAAACCACTCGCAGCTTCTTGTGATTATTTCACTGAGCATCGATCCAAGCCTCGTAAACACGACAGCCTTTCTTTCTTAATAATAAACAATAACTACGAATTCGAGTTGGAATAAATAAAGATAATAAAATGAGCTATAGAGAAAAAACATTCGCTTATATTTACATTAACAACCATTGTTCACCCTAAAGGACACGTGACAAAGAAAAGTCTCGATCGCCACCTGGTGGTTTGTCACAGAAAAGATCTTAAACCCTGTTTCCTCCATGTAAGTAGACGGGACATGGCTAAACAAATGGATCTGTACTCACTGTGCTCAGATCATTGAAATAAAGCCTGAATATTTCAAGACAAAGACAAATCAGTTTAAAGACGATGGATGTTTTCAAAAGCTCAAGATGGCAGCGTTTGTTTCTGGGAGGTTTTAGCTTCTTTATTTACAGTCTACGGTAAAATCAACACTTTCTATTGAATAAGATAAATCATCACTTTGTGGCAGTAAGCAAGAGTCAGTTTGTAGATTTCTCACACAAATTTATTCTTTTAACAGTTTGACAGACTTCGGTTTGTTTTGTGCCCAAAAAAAAAAAATGGAAGCAATCTATATATACGAGTCTATTATTGGCCTCCTGCTCATTAGAGCTGATTTGGTCTAGAAACACTGCAAGTGGACGCTGCACGCGAGAGTCCGAACACTTGAAGACGAATAGCTGGCTGAGAAAAATCAGCACGTCTCCATCAGACAGACAGAAGTGGAAAAAATCCTCCCACTGCTCTCCACCCAGCTGGCTCGCCTTCTTTTTTCCACTGAGTCTCTCTCCAGTGACTTCCACAGAAAACAGCTGCTAAGTACATTTGGGGGAGGGTTATGGGGGAGGAGGTGGTGGTGGTGGGGGGGGGTTTAACTGAGGAGATTGTGTACCTGTCTGATGTTTACGGCTCCGCTTTGTGTCTCTTTTCTGTCCCCTCCGACTCACAACAACCCTCTGAACGGCTGCACCACAAACAGATTACAAGGCTGAGGCTAGGACGCACACACGCACACACACACACACACACACACACACACACACAGGATGAGCTCGCTGAAAACGTCATGCATAATTTATCGTCCTCTAAAGCAACTTTTAAAGAAATGTGGGTGTTCACGCTGAAGGCCGTGAAGAGTCACAGATGCAACAAGCACAGTTTAAGTAGTAATGAGAAGTTTCAGCTGCTCAATCTTTTTTTTTTTTTTTAAATCAAACATTTTGTCGGGGAGGCGCAGAGCGCTCCAGATGCAACGCGCACAGAAACACAGTGATCCTCAGGAGTCGCTGACCTCCCTCCAGGCTGTTGTCACAAACAATGAGTTTCTGGCCGCACAGTTCAAAGGGTCAGGAGCCCCCCCCACCCCCCCCTGCTTGTTAAAACCTGTCAAGCGGTCAGACGGAAACTAAGGCTGAGAATGAGAAACTGGGGCGAAGGTCAAACCAGAATGTTACAATTACTCTCGTGAAACTGGACCTGGCCGTGTCGTGCGGCTGCGTGCGCGGTGTTAACCTCCACAGTTTACGGTGTCGCCCGGGACAAAGAGGCTGAGGTGTTCTTCGCAGCGTGACTATACATCAGCTGGTCGGTTCCTGGCTGCGGCTCGGCTCCAGTCTCATTTTGAAAACTTCTCACGTTCGGCTGCCGTAGAGCGAGTTCACACAGAGGTTGAACAAAAAATAGAGGAGAACTTTGCGTAAACGTCTGCCTCCTTATCGTGTAACCATCTCCTCACATGTTTTAACTGGAGACGCTGATAACGACTCTGAGATGTGACAGATAATGAAGAAGCTCTTTTTCAGCCTCTCGTCAGCTCACACAGGCTGCAGATTAAAAAACAAATATAATCCTTGTCAGATACAAATCTGCTCAGATCTAGAACAGATGTAAAACAGGCTCCAGCGTTGGAAAAGTACATTTATTCAAGTACAGTACCACGGCATGTTAGAGTACTGTACTGTTCATCTACTCTGATTGATTTCAGAGGGAAATATTTACTCTTTACTCCACAAATACGTCACAGATACAGTTTCACCTTTCTACCATCCAAACACTTTAACACGCTCGGTGTATGTGAACGGTCACGTGATGGTCGTCCTCAGATTTGTTAGAACGGGGGCTGATGCAGAGTTAAAACGCTTGAGTGGACGGAAATCATTTTAGTTTGACAGAGCCAACAAACTACCACAAAGTGGTCTGACTTCATTGCTCTGAGTGGATTCCCGAGGAGCCGACTGTACTTCTGACTAATCACAGACAAAGCGAGAGACATGGCTGGTGATTAACACTCGAAGACTGTCTGTGCCTGTGTCAAAGTATTAAAGTCAGACACAAAAGGAAATGAACTGGAAAAAATTGCAGCGAGAATGACTGAAAGAGAAATTGGAAGTAAAGTGAATAATTTCCGATGGCAGGCCTCGTAGGTCCATCGTCCAATACTCAATTCTCATATTCACCATAAAGTATCATGTGTTTTTAAATATTTGAGGGCAAGAAAAAAAAAAAAAAAACGCACAGAGAGGGAGCATCACACTTCGACAGCACGGAGTTTCTGGTGTGTTCTCATTTGTGTAAAACCACTGTGGTTTTCACAGGAAGGACTGTGCAGCCATGTGCATGACGGGACCCCTTTGACAGTCTGACAAGATAGTGTATGTGCATAATCCCCCTCCCCAAAGTTTCGCCCCTCGTTCGTGGTCTGCTACAGTGGCTTTTCCAGATGAGGAAACCTGAAGCCTCGGCTCCTGTGGCTGTCAGGCAGCTCATGGCAGTTTGGCTCTGCCCTCACTCACTGTGCTGTGTTTGAGCTCGGTGGGCTGCGTCGCTCACTCCCCTCTGCAGCTGTGAGACCCTTCAGAGCTCTGCTTGAGTCGCTGCAGTTATCCACGGAGCTTTTGTTTTGACTTGGTTGAGTTTGATCACAGAGCTCCGATCACCTCGCTTCAATGGGCCGTCTGTGCGGCGCACACACGGGAGTGGGCTTCATAAATCCGACTGAAGCTGTTGTTTATACAAAGAGCTCGGTTTGGAGATTTTACTGAAATAAAAACGAGATAATGTTTCTGCAGGAAGTTAATCCTCAAATATCCCTCGCTTCAGTGAGTAAGCTCAGTCGCTTTGTTTCTGCAACGCTTGACAACGTAAATAAAAACAAATTGTAAATGCTTTACTACTTACCGAGAGACGGTTGAAGCAGTAACCGCATGGCTTCATTAAGGCTTGAAATCGTGTTGTGTTTTTAAAAAGAACCTTACTCTCACCAGAGCAGTGAGTCCAGACATTTGAAAAATAAAATAAAAAAGAAACTGTGCTCCATCATCATCTATTAGTGATTGTGTGTGAGTGTCAATGGAGCTGCAGGAAACCCACTCCACCCTCCACTGATTCGACAAAACCCACCTTTATTTACGACACAGTCTTGGGTGACAGGGCGGCCGACCTCTGCATCCACAGTCTCTGTGCAGACAGAGTGAGCAGTGTTTTCTCACCAGAGAACTGCAGCCCCTCCACAGACTAATCCAAACTCAACTCTCTCCATCAGCAAGTTTAGGTTTCCAGAATTCTACTGAGCCTTGCAGTAGTTTGTCAAATTAGGTCCTTTTTGCCAACTTACACTCAAAGTGCTCTCAGTGTTGTTTGACGAGCCAAACAGGAGGTCTGTTTTGCCAAAGCAATGAAAAGTCCAATCATTATAATCGACCGATCTTTCCGTGCAGGCTGATGTAAAGGGATGACAAAGAAGAGGGATTACAGGAATACTGTGAAAACACCGAGGATGAAAAATGATAATACTTTCTGAAAATGGGTCGATTTCGAAAAAGTCTTGAACCCGATAGGTGGAAGGGTTTGGCTGACCAGCGTTACGTCCCCAGTTGCTGCAGCCCTCAGCGGTCCATTATCGCTAATTTTGACAAATGAAAACAATCAAGTTGAAGTTTACAATTCAGATTCCTCAAATTCCTTTCAGGTTGGTAACACGGCATCCGCACATGTGTGAGAACGTGTTTGGGAGGTTGGTTGTGCGTGGCGTGTGAAGTGATGGTCAGGTTTGGAAGAACATGAGGGTTTTTCCATCGGAGGACCTCCGCAGCTATGTTTCCAGGAGTCATCCTGTCAACTGACGAGCGATGACATACGAGACTAAATTCAGACCAGATGGCAGGGGGGGGGGGGCAGCAGCCAAAATAAGAGAATTGACAAATCAGCTGCTACTTGGCGGAGCATAGAATCAGTCAGCAGACTTAATGGAGAAACGTCTAAACTTAAGAGTCGGTTTAAGTGACGACTGCGTCAGGAAGTTTACGATAACTTTCAAATGGATACTGACTGACGCGTAATGTAGGTACTCGAAACAGGAAGTGACTGCCAAGAAACAAAATCTTTCAACTTTACATTTGCTGCAGGTTTATACCGGTAAGAACAGATTACTGTCATGAATTCGACTGACAATTTATGTGACAGTAGAAGTAGAAATGTATTAGGTAGAAAGGTACTGAGAGATTATCCACACTACAGCTGCTTTCAGACACTTTCCTGAAACTTTTTACAGACATTTTCTGGAACGTCTCCAGACAGAACCTGGTAAAATGTCCAGAGAACGTCCTGCGTGAGCCAACGTGATAACACAGCTGCTGTGTTGATAATGTTTCCGACACAGAACAGACATGAAACTGGAAGAATATAAATATCTCAAGAGCCGGACAATCTCCTGCTGTGTTCTACATATGTAAAAGAAAAACTCATTAATGTCTGAAAACAGATTACTTCGAAGTTAAATGCAAAAGTTAAT